CTGAAAGCTTAGAACAGCCTTTTTGAGAATATTATGGTGGATAATATCATGTTACAGTGGTGCAAGTGTGTGATTCTTGTGAAATCTGGATCAAATAAATTTGGGGCCTTGTCTCAGCCCAACAATCATTTCATACTCAGAGAAAAACTACCAGAGCTACCATATGAAGATATGCAAAAATCTGCAGCATGTCTCCTTACAGCTGCTTTAGTCAAGAATGGCCTGGTCCCATAATACTGAGTTATTCTTGTTTCTAATCTGTCACAATTTATTGGGGGTACACCCTGGACAGGTTTCCAGTCCATCATAGGGACACAGAGAAAAACAACCATTCACACTCTCACTCACACCTAGGGACAGTTTAGAGTTACCTGTTATGGCCATAAAATGCTGAGTTAATTACTACATTATCATATGAGAAATGGATTATGCGATCCATTTAGAAATATTAACCACCTGCATGTCAGACATCCTCAGAGAATATAAAAATGATGGACAGTAACTTCACCGTTATCACTGCGCATGCAGGGGAAGTCATTTTAAGCAAGTACTCAATGATGAGAAATCAGAGCACTCTGCTGCTCACTTTGGCAAAGGTACTTTCTAACTTAATGAACAACACACAGAGAATTTTAAAAAGGGTGAAACTAAGAATCAACATTTTTGTAAAAAGTGATATGTATTTATTAAGAACAGATAACAAATTGTAGCTAGTAATTAAGACTTTAATAGTTATACCAGTAATTGAGCTTAACTGTTTGGTCTAATTTATTTCATGCATGCAATGATCGTATAAACTTTTTCTACATCATGTCGGAGAGAAATTACAGCAGAGTGAATGAATTTTTATTAACTGGATTCCCTGGACTTCATCCAGAGCACTATGGTCTGGTTTCAGCTGTTTTATTCTTTGTGTACCTGATGACTGTAATTGCAAATACTCTAGTATTGTTCTTATTTGCAACTAACCAAAGCCTCCATAAGCCCATGTATCATATCATTTTAAATCTATCTGCATGTGACCTTCTCTTCAGCACAACAACTTTACCTAAAATCATCACCAGATACTGGTTTAAATCAGGGGCTATTTCATTTACTGGTTGTTTTGTTCAAATGTTTTTTGTTCACTATCTTGGCTCAGTGAACTCCTTTATATTCTTCCTCATGGATTTTGACAGGTACTGTGCCATCTGCCATCCTCTCAAATACACAACTATTTTGACAAAAATCAGAATACTTATTCTCAGTCTGGCCGCATGGATAATTGCCAGTTTATTCCCGTTCATACTGATTTTTAGAGCATATCCTCTTCCTTATTGTGGCTCAAATATAATCAATCACTGTTTCTGTGATCATATTGGTATAACAGTTTTGGCCTGCACTGACAGGACACCATACGCCCTTACAGCTTTTGTGAATGCCATGATTGTACTCCTTGTACCTCTGGCATTCATAGTTTTCTCTTATTGCTCTATACTTATTGAGGTTAGCAAAGTAGCAGGTATCAAAAATCGTCTAAAATCATTGTCAACATGTAGTACTCAGCTGATAATAATCTCACTATATTATTTACCTAGATGTTTTGTATATTTAGCAAGTAATGTTGGTATTAGTTTTAGTAGTGATGTGCGAATTGTAATTATTATGCTTTATAGCCTTGGTCCTCCGATGGTCAATCCACTAATTTACTGTCTGAGAGCGAAAGAAATAAGAAATTGTTTGTGGAAGCAGTTTTACAAAATTGTGCCCTCAAAAGCACAAGTTGCACAAGTTTCAGCCATCAGTACCTGATAAAATAAAGTATGGGTATTAAATCAGTCACTGTTCTGTTCATCAAGATT